AAATTATTGAACAACAACAACCAATTCTACCAGATAATCCCAAGCAATAGTTGTTATTACTAGGCATACGTCGGCCAATAACACGTAGTCCACAAATATTTTATGTTCTCTCTAAAAACAAGTCATAAATCAAAACGGTAGTCAAAAAAACTGCTGCAATACAACGACACCAACCCTTTTCCCCCACAAACTGAAAAATATCCGCGAACACTAAAGTACCTACCAAACGCAATTTCAATGGCAATGCAATAAACTAAGGACAGATTAGGGCAGCGTTGCGACCACCGCCGACAAAAATACGACGTTCATGTAAACGTTTACTAGGCAAAACTATTGAACCATGTGCTTTGTCGAAATCATCTTAGCCCGGCAACTTGAAGGTGCGAGCTTTTCGCTTGCTTGGCAACTCGGGCAGCGTCGACAGCTGGACAATGGTAAACAGCTCCTCGTGATTTTTTTCATCTTAAGTAAGGTTTACTAGACAATAAAATTCCTGAACAAAGCTAGTTGATCGTCAGAATCATTTCTATTCATCTGAGATTTACAAATCGTACAAGAGTCCATCGTTAGAGATAATTGATAACAAAACAGATAACAATTTTAGGGCGGGGGGGAGGAATGACTCAAAACCTAAAATGGAATTAAGAACGAACGAACAAATTATCATTTCGCCCGCCGATCACTGTCATAAAAGTATCGAGAAGACTACATCGAGAAAGCGAACACTCTACTCGATGACAGAGAATTTTACAGACCAGCACAGGGCTCACAATCCAAAGCAGTAGCAGGTCGGTTTAATAAATTACGCAGATACTTCAAGTGTCAAAAGGTAATCAAGCAGAACGAGCAGCACCACATGAAATCAAGGGACACTACTCTGGCTTGATTCCATGGTCTGTTAAAGAGTCATAAACGACATGACTTACTGCGGCTAATCGTAGCCCTAAAATGCATCCATCCCCTGCACCGAGCACGCTAAAGCCGAACACACTTCTGTGTGATCATCTTAATGCTAAGTTGTCAACCGTATGAGCATTGTCCACCACCAACGCCCTGCCATCTTACCAGTTCGCATAAACACCGCAGAATCATAAGAGTCAACAGGACCGGATCGGTGAGATTACCTAGACTGCACGTGGTTTTAAGCTAGTCCCTAAGATAGTTTAATGAACAGGGTCGGTAGAGTCCAAAAAGGTCAGTAAGCGTATCCGAAAAGCGCGGATCTGGTACGCAAATTCCGGGTGGAATTAGGAGGCGTGTTACATCGGTGTTTTATTATATGCAGTTATGCCACATATGAGAAAGCAATTAGGTTAAGCTACTTGTAAACAAGACAGCGATAGCCCGGTGCCCACGCTACATAGTTCAAACGACGGGTTTTGTTCTCCTAGTCACTGTCAGCTCGCAATAGCATTATTGTATGGGAAAAGTAAAGCTATCTATCAGCTGTCTATCAGATTTACCTTAAGTGTGCCATGCGAGGACAAAGTCACAAAGATTCTTATGTTATTATTTGGGAGTGAGTTAATATTAATTTCGATCTGGACTTCAATGTTCACGAGCTCAACGCGGCACAGGACAACAGGAAAGTAAGTGCACCAGTCTTGAAAAAATAACTTTTCGGCGGAATAGACTGGTAGAAAATTGAAGGCTCGGTTACTTCCTTTGCCCAACGTGACCCACACGAACTACAGTTCACTGAGGTCTGTTAAAATCGTTGTGGACTCACGTAACCCAAACACTTTCTACACACTTGAAGTCACAAGCACACATTAAATTTGCGAGTGCGCAAAGCTCTAACGCATGAACGATGCTTCACGAAAAATGGTTAAGTTGAAACAAGAAAATTCTAAATATGGCTACCTAGCGTTCGCTAGATTTGAAATTTGTTTAGATTGCTCCTCTGACATGTAGAAGATTTCAAAATGATGTAAGAACTGGGAAACCCGGTTGAGAGTAGAAAAGTCCGTTAGCCAAAATTTTACATGTAAGCAGCGGAATAAAATTATCGAAACATTCTCGAATTCTGTAGTTCACTTTTGTAATAGCGTCAGAGACAGAATCTCTGCGCCGACTACCAACTCCTCAAAAACGATTATTAGTTAGTACCCCCTTTGAAAAATGTGCTCAAGCGACGTTTGCTTTCTAGGTGAGCGGAGCACAAATTACTATGGATAAATGGAAAATGGCAGTGCTTTGAAGTAGCCACCACGAGATATTTAACGTGTTCTATGCTGACTTAATTCGAGCTATTGAAGGAATTAGAAAAGCCGTATTAAGGATAAACTCACTCGGGCTAATTTTTTTGGATCCAGTTCTTCAACTTCAGGAGGTTTGTCCGCCTCGGCCTCTCGATCCGCATTTTGCTGGGAACGTTTGCCTTGTTCGCGTCTCTCTTGATCTGCCTTGGAGCGCTGGGCTTCAGCTTCAGCACGACGCTCGGCGCGACGTTGCTTGT